TTTTTTTTTTGTTGCTGATGATGCTAATGCTAAAGATGCTGATATCGTATAAGAATGATGGCCTTTGTTGTGTTTTTGCTAACTTTTATGTGCCAGAATGTCTGTCTTTTATTGCTTTTAAGTATAAATGTGGACATATTTTCAAAAGTGGAGCAAACAATTTTGACCACATGTTATATTATTATTATTGTTTATTATGATTGGTTTACTATGTAATTGTTGTATGTGTAAGTGAAAATATTTCCATTCAATTAATTAAAAAAATATTTTCAATAAAGTCTTATACAAAATAATAACTACGCAAGTGAAATTTTCTAAAGTGAGTACCTAACAATAATTTATTATACCCTACACACATAGCATAAAAAGAATATATTCAGTTTATTTATACATTTGTACACCTATGTGTACAACACCTAGAATATCATTAGAAAGAATGCAACACATTCCAGATTGGACTGTTTTTAACAGATCGGATCGCAGTCAAATTGGCACTTGCAACTGCAATTGACAGTGAAAATAGTGCTACAAATAAGCACAGCTAGAGTTCTTCTCTAAGCCTCGGTAACTTACAACTGAGCGCTACTAGAAATTAAAACAAATTAAATAAAAGTACCACCTGTTATTAATGTATGATAGTCTTAGAAAAATACTGTGTATGTTAAGAACATTTTTTTAACTAGGTACCTAACTCTAGATTTAAGGAACAAATATTGTAAATTAAATTAATAATAAAGCAAATATTAAAATTTGAAATAAAACAAATGAACAGCACGAAAGTCTAGCTGTGTTCAATATTTTTATGCAGCACATTGCTTCTTACTCTTTCCTTTTTCCGCATACAAGTATTGCGACCTACAGATGAAGCTACCAGATGGAACTTAACCTCTACGTAAATTTATGGTAGGCATCATGCCGTATATCGAAGCTTTTAGCGAATTTAATGACTGCTTCAAGGTCCATTTTTAGGACGTATTCTAGGTTTACAAATTGTAAGATGCCAAAAAATTTAGGTATGTTCATGACAATGGAGAACATAAGCACAAGAGATATGCTAAAGTCTCCTTCGTTCCATGCTTCTATCTGCTTCGTCATTGGTGCTTCTATCTTATATGTGTATATCGCTAATCAGTGACCCATCAGTATAGCTATGATAGTTTAGCATTCTTTCCGTTACAGTGCTCAACGCTAGTACAATGTGTTTAATATACCTTCTGCTCAAAAAGTATCCGGACTTTGTTGTGTGTTAACTACTCCTTAAGTAATAGAGCTTTTTCAAAAATTTTTTTTTTGTTATGTTGGTTCACGGTTTCTTGACATATGGTACAAATTTGAGCGCCATCTGTCAATTAGTTTGTTTACAGCAGCTGTTAATATGAGACTACCTCAAGTGCATTTAGCGATTTTTACTAGGGAAAATTCTTGTTGTACGCGATTTTTTCATCAAACACGGCACCACTGTCGTTGCTGAGGCACCATATTCGCCAGATCTGGATCCGTGCGACCTTTTCCTGTTCCCGAAACTCACGCCCCTTCGTGGTAAGCGTTTTGAGTCGATTGAATTGGTAAAAGAGAATTCGCTGAAGGAACTAAAAGCCATACCTTCACGGGCCTACGAAAAGTGTATGGAAGATTGGGTTAAGCGTTGGCATATGTGTTTCACTTCAGAAGGAGCATATTTTGAAGGAGATAAAATAAATTTGGAATAAAATTTAAATTTGTGTGTTTTATTTACAAAACTCGAGTACTTTTTTCGTTTGATTCGTTCATAACTTTTGCAATTTTTTCAGTACCTTTCATATCTTCCTTAATTTCGGTATGTGATTATTTTTAGACATATTTATATGTCCTTTTCTTGTGCAAATGCTAGTTCAACGTGACTTTTGATAATCTCATCTACGATTATCATTTTCTTCAAATGTCTGGGTACATAACGTTACTGCAACCATAGTTTCGCGGACAATCTTTTCTTGCTCTCCATATAAAATATTATTGAATGTGAATACGTAAATACCTAGTATAACTAATTATCAATACACAAAATTTTTATCGATTGGTTCATATTTTAAAGGTCTAAGCGAAAGGTAAGTTTTATGAAGTCAAACTTTATTTTGAGCTTAGCTTAAAAGAAAATGTACATATGTACGAGTATAACAGGTATTAGTTGTAGGTTTACGGGCATATATGCCATCTTATAGAGTATATGTCTATTCAATAACAATAATTTTAGTGTCAGAGTAAAACAAATACTTCCATTCTATTCTATATAGTTTCCGTTCTCTAGAACTATTCCAAACTAAAATTACAAAATTTTATTGTTTGATTCTTCTTCATAACTTAAATTATTTACAAAAATCAATTTAGTTATACCTTAGACAACTTATTTATAAATATATTTTTCTTAAAATATTAGTAAATAAACGTTTTCTATATACTATCATTTAATTATTTTTGTTTTGCTTATATTACCATCTCATTATTTATATAAAAATGCACTAAAATACACTGAGAAAAAAACTTACGTTAACTTGATAAGATTATCATTCATTGATTATGTAGAATAACAAAACTTAATAAATCATAAGTTTACTTTTGTTTAGTTCCCTCGGTTCCCTCGAAAGGTTGAGAATTATTACTCCACTGACATACATATACATATGAATACATATGAGACTAATGTCAATGACATTATATGGCACTATCAGCATTTTCATGAAATTAAAATAATGAATTTATTTTATCGAACTCATAAAGTCTTTAAGTGTTGACATTAATAGGCAAATATTGTAATATCAGTAAAATTAAGTTTTTAGTTATCAAATAAAATCATTTGATTATTTGAAGACAGACAAAGAGGCGCCACTTTTTCGAAAACCGAAGTGTTCCCAGAGAAATGGCTTTGATTAGATATAATGTGTTTTAGATAAAAATGTTAAGATAAGAAGTAAATGTTTACAAAAAAAGTGCATTTGAAAATAAATTTAAGATTAAACGCGGTGATATATATTATTATAATATGCGTAGTAATTTTTTTTCACAAAAGGTTCTTGAAATATATAAGCCTATCATACGATAATCTTCCATTTTGGCTGATTTTGTTTTTTTTATTTTTTTGAGTTGCTAATACCTTTAATCATCTATCCATCTTTTTGGTAGTCATCTTTTCCTGTTCCCTTATAAGTTACTAACAATAATTTTAACAATTTGCCTTCTTTGCATCATTATTATATAGGACAAAGCCTAGTAAAAATTGGTAACTGGATCATAAGGAAATGCAATTACTTTTTTATAAATTATATAGTTTTTTTCAAGAGGTTTATATAACGATTATTTAAAAATGATTATTCATTTGCTTTGCAAAATGAGAATTAGTTTAAATTCTCAATTGATATTGTCTGTCTTAGAGGAATCTAATGATGTTGTTGGTGTTGTAATCTACAGAGATCTAACAAGCTGATAACATAAAACGAATTACATAGATATACATGATTTAGGATGTAACCATGTGAGGGTAGTGTGAGAGGAGAGGCGACTGTTTAGTAGTAGTAATGGATTGGAGATGAGTGACATTTAAATTGAAGTCAACCAGAATTAAGGCGGTGAAACCAAGGCATTTCAATGGGCCGAGTTCAAAGATCGCTTGAACTTAAGTAAGTGCGTTCAATGGGACATGAAAGCAGATAGGCGATATAATGTGGAATTGACGAAATTATATTTGCTTAGCACATAACTATATTCTGAGTACTTCCTGCACCTCGAAGGCGATATTAGGCATCACCCTATTGAAAACTTCGTTGCAGTGCAACCGTAATTTCGAAGAAGTTACTACATCTGTCTGGAGTGTTGTTAATTCACATGTATATTTGACCTCACTGTTATTAATTATATTGCTGTTATAGATGTCTATATATCTATGATGTGAAGAAATGGATGTGCATATTGGAGGGAAAGCGCTAGAAAACATGTTGTCAATAGAGGTATACGATCATTTGTATTAGTTATAATAAGGATAAAGAGGACGGTTCTTGTTATAAGTTCGTTTAGTGAACTAGAATTAGCAGGACTTCTATAATATGTGAGGTTTTAATTTTAAAGTTAAAAGAGATTTTAATGATAACGAATTCTGATCCTTCACAAAAAGTCTTTAAATGTAGAACACGTTATTAAGAGAAATTAATACCGGTATGTCTAGCATATACCTAGTTAAAATTCTGGTAATCAACTAGTAAAAACTTAATTTATGAACTTAATTTATGATTATCTATACTCACGATCTACGGTTTATATATGTGTATATGCATCTTGCACAATAGTATATACTCTTATAAGTACAAATGTAGCTACCAGTAGTGTACATATGGGACTTTAATCCATTATATACAATAAAAACAAAAAAAATTAATCCAAAAGCCAAATATTTGATTTTGAATTTCGCTTTTATATAAATTGAGACAACACCTCAGGGTAGTAAAATCAACACCATCAAGAAAAAAGTACTAACAACACACAACAACAATAACAACAACAGTAAAAACCAAATACAATAAAAAGTATTGGAAAAGCCGCATATAAATCAAAGCAAAAACAAAAATACTTTAATACAGAATAAATAATAAAAAAAAATTAAGAGCAAAATAAAAGGAAAGAAACAAACAATAGCAACAACAACAACAACCATGTCTGAATCAAAATGTCAAACGAATATGATAGAACCAAAAGAGGAGAGTGAAAATGCTTCACCGTAAAAGCAGCTGCTGGCAATGGGTGGAAATGTGGGATGCTGTATGTGCTCGCGTTTTCTTTCGCTTACGCCCAGCTGCGGAGAAACGAAAATTTTCGCAGAAAAAGTGTGAATCACAGATAGTTGAATAATGCAACTTACGTGGAAAACTTTTAAAAGGGTGGTGGGTGGTTAGGTGGACGTGATACCTCACAGTAACATAATTATATAAAAAAGATAATAAACATTTTATTTAATTTTTAATTAATAATTTACTTACCAACGCCATATTTATTATTCGATGGAATCCACATATTGAATATATTTTGTTGTTGTTTTCCGTATTTGCAAGGTAAGTGGCACTATTACACTCTACACACCCAATAAGCTGCTGCCGCTATTTTTTTTTTTGGCTTATTTTCCTAATAAAACGGTGTACAAATATTTAACTCTTTTATTTTGCACATTTTTTGCAATATTTTTTTTTTGTTTTGTGTTTTCAAAAGCCGCAGAGCAATTTTTTTTTTTTTTCAATAAAATAACACAAACAAAATGAAAGAGAATTATTAACAAATAATAAACACTTGTTTTGAACTCCACACACAACAAAACACAACAGAACGACAACAATCCACACGCTCACCAATGCGTTTTTCTTTGTTTGGATATATTTATGATTTCACGTGTTTGTTTTTGTATTATTTATAAACTCATTTATCACATCAATCAATTAAATAAAATCATGAATTTATCTCCATATATTTTCTTAGGTTTTAGCCACTTCCACATAAAATCTGTGTTTTCCAATTAGAATGAAAATTCACTTCGCTTATTAGAATTACTACTTTTTTGTGTTGTTGTTAAATTCATATAAGAAAATCGATAAACATGTAGTGTTCAAATTTTTGCCAAATATTTATGAACAAATGCGCATTAAAACATTGAAAACATTTTATATTTCATAATTCAACTTTTACTTTCTTTTATGTACCGCATATTTTGCATTTAAAAACAATAAAAATTGTATAATATTTTGCTCTGGACAGTTCCGCACCAACAAAACCCTTTCTACATTGTGCATTTAGTAAAATTTCAAATACACACAGACCGCTAGGCAACCAAATACGAAGCAAGTTCAAATCAGACTGAAAAA